AGAGCTGTGTCTCACTGCGACATAGACTTGCTCTGTGCAATGCTGCTAAACACGTCAAAAGTGACAGCACAATGTCCCCACGTACCGGAACGACGGAGTCGTCAGTTGGGTCCGACCATTCGCTCAGTGTGTCCTTTGATGCTGTTGACAACACTCCGCAGGCTTTGGATTTAAGCCCTTTAAAATTGGCGCGGGATTTCCCGTTATGTGGTAGGGAACGTCGTCTGCTCTTCACTCAGGTAAGGACCTCCACTCTTGAAGATGGTACCCTAAACTTGGGTGACAGCAACAGTTTGGAGAGACGAATTTCACTCTTGGATGATTTCAGTCAACATTTTCATGCCTCTGATCAACTTAATACGCAAGCACCGTGTTTAAGCAAATTCCCGCCGGACTCAACCAAGGAAAACTCTCCATCCCCAGTCAGCAACCTGACGAGTGACCTTTACGAATCATCCAATGTCTTGTGCACGCCGTCATCCACATATACACCAAAATGTATCAGGTATGTGTTCTCTTTGACCTGTTTAAAAAAATCATGATGCACATCATCTGTATTTGAGTTGTCAGCTATGAGTTTTTTTTTTTTTTTTACTTCTCAATGAAGTCATTTGAGAGCATTTCTGAACCCCGCCGTAGGTCTCCGTATGAAGACAGTGGCTTCAGCTCCCTCGATAAATCCCAAGACTCTTCTGTCGACCATGATGGCTCGTTCCAAGAGTTGCTGCGTTCTGCCTCAAAAGGAACCTCAGAAACCCCCAATCTGATAGATGCAAAACGGCGTTCCCGTTTACAACGACAGCACAGACTTTCCACTCTAAAGGAAGGCGGCTCATTGTCTGACGAAGACCCATCGGACAGAAAGCATCAACATATTCAGCGCCACAGCAGCACTTGTAAAGACAATGAGGTTTTCGTCCGAAATAGCCCTCGCAGGGTCCTTTCTCTGAAATGTAGCAACACAACATCTGATGGGCTGGCATCGGCGAAACAAGGTTGTAAAACTCCTCTCAGTGAAACCACAGCCAAACGTGATGGCATCACACCTTCTAGTAGGACATCGGTCAATTCCAATGTAACCCCCTTCAAGGCAACCAAGCTCTCACTGACACCTGCTTTACAGCTCATTCATAGTTTGTGTGAGCAGAAGGCCCAGATGTTTGCTGGCCAAAGTCCGAGTCTAAAAGAGGAGCTGAGGGCCACAGCATCTCTTGCTGAGACATCAGTCGCGTTCGGGACAAATACGCCATTGGCGGGGCTGATTGGACGCAAGATGGGGCTGGGCAAGGTGGACATATTAACGGAGCTGAGGAAGAGGAACCTCAGGCACATCCTGGCTGTGATATTCAGCCACCTGTCTGCTGAATGTGTCCACAGGTCAGAACCTATGTTCTCAGTTATCGAGCGATAAATGCTTTATTCATGCCGTTGGGCAAAGTCAGGGTCGTTTTGTAACTGTTGCAATTGACTAACATTATAGTGCGGGCATATTCCAGGATGATTTTCTTTTAAAACTTGACATTTCAGTTTCTGTATACAATGTATTGATGGTCGACGGTGTCACTAGACCAGGGGTCTCAAACTCAATGTATGTGGCGTCCACTGGAGATAGTTTTTCTGGTTGCATCGTATTTTTATCTAAAAAGGGATTAGAGCAATCAAAACGGGTACATTTAATCCAATCTTCAATAACAGTTCAGAACATTAATGGTTCTTCACAAGACTGGTGACCCGGGCCTCCATGTCATCCCCCTGGTACTTTACAGACTCCTCCGCATGTCTACTTGACGAATGAAATTGGATTTTTTGAGCACCGCAACTTTCTCTGTTCATTCAAGACATGTTGGGGAGCCTCTGTACTGAAATTGGCTATTGCCAATTTTTCTCTTCAAGGCAGGTTTTGAAAAGAACATGACCACAACTGGGTAACAGGATATTTTTTCCTTCCACTTGGTGTCACTCCAGAATTATGTTTTGCCAGCAGCTATCATGAAGCCTGAGCTACGGTCAGTAAGTGATTCAAAACAAACAAACAAACAAAAAAAAAAGCGGCCAAGGCAATGGCACAGTAAAAAAGGTGTGGGCTGCACTAGCAAACTTCAATGTCATGTTAGGAGCCGCAAAATATCATCCTGCCGGCTGCAAATGGGCCCTTGGGCTGTATGTTTGAGACCCCTTCCATAGATATTTCAGGTCACAATTGTATTTTTCAGATGGTAGGAATTTGTGCACCGCGTTAGCAAGAAACATTGTTTTTGAATCGGACAATGCTTGCTAAGTTAGCTGTGGTGAAAATTTTAAATGTATTTAAAAAAATAATAATTCCTGTTAAAACTTCAAAGCATTGTTGCTAAATATTGCATCCTGAAATTTAGTAACACATGTACTGATTTATGTATTTGTTTTTGCAGTTGTGGTCTGGTGTCTACGCACTGGAATGAAATCATCCAACAGGACAAGCGCGCTCGCTTGAAGAGAGAAATTTACCGCAGTGCAGTAGAAGCTGCTCAAGAGGTAGAGGAACAGTACTAGCAATTTTGAACAATTAGTGTTCCCCAGCAAAAGAAGTTTTTGTTTTTATTTAGCAGGGTGTCACAAAATTAAAACATTTAAAAAATGTTTGATGTGTAAAAGTGGAAGTCCAATCAAAAATTTCCTGTTACCTGTATGTGCCCCCACTTGGCTAAATATGGCATTCTGATTAATATTGCGTTGGTGGAATAACAATTAATCAGCGATTTCCACCTATTTTTATCCAAGAGTTTAAAACCACTGTGGCAATCTCATGCCAATATTTATTTCTTACTCAGGGGCTTTTTAAATTTTTTTTATTTAAATCTTTAATTTTTTTCTTTTTTTTTAATTTTCAGTTTGCTGGCACTGCCCATGCTGCTCATGCAGAAACAAGATTGGCCCTGCTTAAAAGATCACCCTTCCAAACTGTGCAGGCCCAGTCTAGAAGCTCCACTTACAGCACCCCGCAGTCTGGAAACCGCACTTTAACGCCTTTACAATACAGTACTTTATCTTTGGGCAGCAGCAGCAAACGGGACAAGTTCTTAGAGGTACATTTCCTAATTGTTCTGTTGTAGTTTAGATTTTGACGTTTAATTTATTATTTTTTTTAAACCCAGTAAATATACGTGGAAGTGCGAGTATGATGTGAAATTACGAAAAGAAAAAAAATGTTGATTATCATGTCCTGTTCCTTTCAGGTTGCCAAAACCCTCTTCAACGACGAATGCCTCAGACATTGCCCTCGCTGTCAGCATCCTGCAAAGTGTCAAGTTGTGAAAGGCGAGGGTGTTTGCACCAGAGCTGATTGTGCGTTCCAGTTTTGCACAGCATGCTTGTGTGCTTTCCATGGCTCCAAAGAATGTGGCAGCCAGTCTGTAGGCCGTCGCAAAAAAGACTCGTTGCTTCCGGGAAGTGCCCAGAGCAAGCGAAACATTCGAAGACTATGAACAGACAAGGCAATAATGTGAATCCCTCGCCGCTGCTCTGAAGTTCTTTTATGAATGTATTTTGGCTACTCATTAGTGAAGGGTTGACTGGATGAAGCAAAGTCCCATCTTGCTCGGAGTATATGAGCAACTTCTGAGCGAATGTGATCGATTTTCTTCTCGCAAATTTTGTATTTTTAATCACGAATCTTGTAAATTCTTTAAGCACATACAACCTGTGATTGATGTACTTTTCCATATTGGTGAAGTGTGCTTTGAGGCTTCTTAATTGTTTTCATACCATTCTTTTTTTAGAATAAATTGCATTTTTACCCACCTTCTCAAAAATCCTCATTTATATAACATGACCGATGACCTCGTCTGTTGATAGGTATATGTAAATGTTTGGTGACATCTAGTGGTCATCAACGTCAAAGTCATTTCCACCCCCTCATTTTCTGATTGAAATACAGTACTGTACTTCAGGATAAATAATGCAATGCATTTGGGAAGGGGGCTCGACTCACAAGGCCATAGGATAAAAATTCCTGCCACAATATGGTGTGGATGGGTTTATAAACTCCCTAACGAGATTAAATACTTTCTCTCCTCTGGTCTTTGGTTAAACTTTTATCACCAACCAAACCACCCATTGTGAATGTGAGTCCACTTCCATAGCAACCTACAGTGTGGAGTTACATAAAGCTTTGTGACTTGGTTCTCCAGAAGTCTTGCATAAGGAATTTAAAACAATTTTAAGCACTAGTCATGCATGGTGAAATTTCAACAGGTAAGATTTGTCTCTCAAAAAAATTACTTTTGTAACTCATCACGTTTATTTAAAAAAAAATCATTTTTTTACCTGCAGACACTCCTCAGCTTACTGTTGACAATTTTGTGAGTACAAGATTTAAGAATCATTCGACACGTTCTTTGATGATTTACAAAAAATATATAGCGGTCTAATAATGTGCCCTACCTACATTACAGGAGAACTTCCTGACCTCCGATCATCTGTTTGTTCACTTGTTGAATAAATTTTTAAGCCTGCCGGTAAATTAATATTCATGTGTTATTGATATTCATGTCAGACATATTTAGAGAGCGAGAGATAAAAAAAAATTCACACTCAATAGACTTGTGTCTCTTGTCAGTGTTTCCCACAAGCCTTGCTGTACAATCAGGAGACGGATCAGTTTGAGGTGCCGAGCAACGCTGCAGAGTTCACCTTCAACAAAATCAAATTAGCACTAGAACACAGCAAATCACAGCCCCTTTCTAAGGATGTCAAAGCTCTGGCCAAAACTCCTTTAGTGGACAACCGTTATACTGTCTCTGTAAGTAAAATATGCTGGCCATTTGCATAGCAAGCGAGAAGATAATTAAGTCAACTTTGTTGATAGAGCAATGTCTTTTTTTTTTTTTTTCTTCTAACTCTCCCTTAGTGTCTGGACTTAGAGCAGGGAGTTCAGTGGATTATAAAGGAAAGATTGACTTTTTTCCTTCAAAGTAGCTTCTACCATGAGTACAGGTACTCAGCATGATACAAAATCATCAATCATCAAATTTGTCTTTACAGTACAACACATTCTTCACATACTACATTTATTTAAAAAAACAAACCTCAGATTATTGTGTTTTTATGGCTTAAGGTGTATGTTTTCATGTTTTTCCAATGCATTTCATCAAGCTTGTGTATCAAGATATAGAATATGGATCACTCTTCACCATTCATTGTATTCTATCATTTATGTGTACTATGTTTTTGTGTGTATGCGGTTTCATCTGATGTTTTGTAGACTATCCAAGTTGTTGTTTCAGTGGGCACGGAATACAAACATCCACAGGAAAGCAGGCAACTGTCGTCTCAAAATGGTCATGCTTGGTGCCAGAGAAAAGGGCAAAGCTCACAAGAACAAATCATCCAAACAAGGTTAATGCTTCTAACTTTGACAATTTGAGGCAATATACGTTAACTTGCCGCGAGAATGACCGAAGATTCATATCCTGTATTATTAGTAGCAATCATCAGTATGCTAGAGTTCAGTCCTACATACCTGTCAACTCATACGGTTTAGCCATAGTTCATACGGATTTTGTGGTGAATCTTACGTATATGGCCATATCGCACAAATCATACGGATTCTGAAAATTTCCGTTTTTTTTTTTTTTTTTCCCCCCCTAACAGGTAGTTCCGTTTGCTTTTGCCCAGAATGGTGCTAGTCTACTCGAATGCTTTCATTTCCGGTAACTTTCCAGTAAATCACGTGGTTCCTAGTTGAAAACAGCAGAGTATTCATTGCATACTTTGGTAGTGTACAAGCAAGTTCTACAAGGAAACAAATATATCATTCATATTTCGTGGGTTTTTTTCTGCCGTTATTTTGACATATAAAATGCTTTGGTATGTTATAAGGATTTTTTGCTCTTTTTAAGGATTTTTTTGGTAGTTTATACAGGTTGGCGCTCCGAAAATTTGAAAGGTATGGTCCTACATCACTGCAAATTACAAACACAATAAGATTGTTAAAACAATACCTCCCCATCAGTGTCAATCAAGACTGAACGTTCTCATCTTTTGCAAAGCAGAATTTCTAATAGCGCTGTTGTGTTGCACCTCATTTGATTGTCCAACATGCCTGTAAGTCTATATGTGCACTATATGTTCATGATTCTAATGATATTTCATCACTTTAAAGGTTATGTGAGAATACATCAGCCACTATGTACATCTTCTGGCCATTGCAAACCACTCCACAAAGATGTCAGTGAATCATCCAGAATTTCTTCCAACTGTTCCAAGCCGTCTACCACTTCCTCCATGTCCTCCGCTTCCTTTCCACCAAACCTGAACGGCGCTGACATCAACATCCGAGAGGCATCAGCTACATCTCGAGAGAAGCAACGGCGCGAAGAGGCTTCAGAGCTGTATTTGCGAGACCTGGCTTCCCAAATGGTTCAACAGGTGGTTGATGATGCTGTCTTCATTTTGACTGCACGGACCCAGGACAAAACAAATGACCTCACAAGCAGTTCCAGCAAAGATAAAAAATGCAAGTGTATAGCTTGCCAATGTCCACTTGATGAGAACATTAAAGAACCGTGTGAAGAATGCCAAAAATGGAGTCGGGGCATTGAAATAATTGATGATGATGATGATGAGAGAAAAATGTCTGAGGGGAGTTCAGATTTCGAAACGCCTCCGGGTGTTTGCTGCCAGGGTACCTGTCACCTAGGCAACCAACCAGGCATGGATGACTTTAAGAAGTTTTTGTGTGGCACATCAGGAGGCAAGTTGTTCAATTTCTGGATGGACATCGAGAGACTGAAAACTGTAACCGGAGAGAGGGAGAACAGGTGATCATGCCACTACTGCTTTGTGCTATCGACCTATGTTTACATTCTATTAGAAATTTGGGAAAACGAGCCAGTGTGTTTTGAAACGCAATATTTTTTTGTTGCCTCAGCTTTTTGGCTTTAATGAGGAGCCGCTACCTGCTAAGCAGCAGTCAGAACAGTCTGCACTTGCAGCTCCTCTGCAGGTTGGGGCTGACTACCTCCCCCTGCTGGTCAAAGGCAAGACTGTGCTCCATCCAGCCCAACATCATGGAGTCAATCGCCTCTTACTGGTAATAGTTTTCATATGCAAAGTTTCCATTTTTTTTCGCCCGACGCAAATCTGAGTTCTGACTATACTTTAACCCTCTTCACCCTCCTGCTATCCCCACAGGGTTCCTCGTTACTGGACATCCCAGCATGTCCAAATAGACCTTGATTATTCTGACATGCAGCCATACAGAGAGTGGTATGCTTGCCCTCATTTGACCTCAATGACCCCTCGTTCCTTTTATCTTGAACCCTGGCTTCCAGATCACTACCATCCATGGGTAAGAGAATTAAGATATGATATGACAGCAGGCTGTGGTTGTGCGATTTGATGTTCTCGTCACAGAAATGTTAACTTAAATGTTACAACGAGTCACTTTTATGAGCAGCCTCGGCCAAGCAGAAGTCAATCTCTAGGCCGCACAAGACTGGATAATGTTTTGCAAGCATTATTTGCCGACCCCGATGCTGGCTCGTACTTCGCTCATTTCTGTGAACAGTCTGGAAATCAGGTAGAATTTATAATATGGGTTGACACCCCAAAGAGTGGATTGCTACATGTTTACATATCACCTTTATTTGAATCCTACCAATCTCCCATGTCTGTTTGTGAGCAATATTTCTTTTGCTCCTTTGATTGCTTCCTCAAAGTTATGGGAGAATGCAATTTATTTTTGGACTGACCTCCAGCATTATCATGAGCTCTTCTACCAGGACGGATTGGATCCCTACAGAGTGCAGAAAGTAGCTCAGGTACATAAGCACACAAACAGACTACATTGACGGACACTTGAATTAAAACTGGCCCACCAAATGACAAAGAAGTCAAAATAAATTGCATCACACTCAAGCTACACGCTATCCTAGCATTGTACGGATACGTTTATCCCTCCTCAAATTTACTCCTACATTTTAGACACCTTTGTGGCAAAAGAAACTGTGAAATAATCATACAGCAAAATCTTTTTTTAAATAAATTAAATGTTCTCAAAACTAATGACCATCAAATTTGGTGAATTTTCACCATTTAAATGGGCGTCTTACGATTTGCGTAATTGTTTTTGGTGGCACTTGGGCAATTGATTATCACGTCCACACCACAGTTCAGAGGTTGTGCGTTCAAGTCCGCATTGTGGTCTTCCTGCATGGACTTTTCATGTTACTTGCTCACAAACGATGTATGAAATAGCAAGGTGATGGGGCTTTGCTAGCAACAATAGTCTAACTTTAGGATATGTCAAATGCTGCACTGTACAGTATTACTATTTATGTACTTTCAAATACTGTACTTTCTCCGGACACCTTTTTATGGCCATATTCCGTAAACCTGAATGGCTACCATTTAAAATCAGACTATCAGTTTTTAATCTCTCTGCCATTATGGTATAAAATGTGTATCCTTAATTAATTGTTATACGACACGATACAACTTTCAGTGGAAAATGCACCCACACTTTCACAATTTCTGGTCTTTTTGACGCATTTTTCTTCCCGTTTTGTTAAATACCTGCCAAATCAACTTTTCAGTTTTTTACGAGGAGAATATGAAAATGCAAAATGCCAACACAGTTCAGTTTTGAATTTTTTTGACGCGCTGTATGCAGTTACTTTACGGTGAGAGCTTAATTGCGCCCACGCGCAGCTTCGAGGGAATATTGGAGACCACCCTGTTCGTTTTCCACACTTTGTTATTGGAAACAGAAGGTGGTTTGTAATGAATTAGTTCATAGAAAAATTATGTTCACTGGATCGCTCAGCACTATGTCATTCAGGTGATGATTCAGTTCACATTCGCTCTGTAACACACATTCCCTGAGTGAAGGATGGTGCATCACTCTGCTTTTCTTCTACAACTTCACAACAGGGTTGAAATTCCCCATACAACCGCCAATGATTACACAGTAGAAAACCATTTCACATGACTTTTTTGGGGGGGGGGGGGCGCCATGCCTGAAAGCACCACTGAGTGCCAGCCTCCAATTTGATGACTGACTCACTCGGCCTTCTTAACACAAGGACGACAAGCTTTCTGCTTTCCGGAATATGTGTTGCTATTTGTGGGGCCCATCAATGGCAACATGTCCTGTTCTTCAACTGAATTATTGTCTCAGCCTTCAATGCTTTTGTGCTGTTCAATGCTGTGGGACCAACAAGCACATTTGGAGATAGCATCCCTTGTGTCCAGCGATGGGGTTATATTCACGCTTCTGATGTTCTCTTTTGTCGTGGAAATTTTCACAGTTTTTGCAATTTGTGTAATACTGTCCACATCAAATGTCGATATGGAAATTATTTCAGACACGGACATACACGGGGCTCCCTGTAGTCACAAGGCTCTCTAAAGCTTGCAAAAATGAGTTGCCCTACAAAAGGAAAATTCTTCTCTCTGGGGAAAATTACTTCACTTTTTTTTTTCTTTTCAAAATGCAATGCAAAGTTGGATAATATATTGGCAGGGAGATTTAAAAACTGAGGTTTTAATGGCAGTTATCAAGGCGTGTTCGGAGGGAATATTGGAACTACAGTATACATAACTGATAAATACTAATGGAGTCAAGTGAACTTTTTTGCTGATATTTGATTTATTCAAGACCCTAATCACCACCTAAGCCCAATCACTCCAATAGGTATATTTAAGTGCATTTCTTTGGATTTTTTTTTTAACTGAGTTTTAAACTCTTTTTAAATTTTTATTTATGTAAGGTGTCTTCCTGTTTGTGACATTTCAGCTTCTCTATGCCACATACCTTCATAGCTCTGCCAGCAGGAGCGTGGGCATGAAGGAGGAGATCAAGGAGGAGGTGTACAACCAGCTGATGCCTGCCTTTGAGGAGCTCTTTGATAACGTTGAGGACGGCATCTTGAACATCCTCATGGAGGCTTGGACAGCGCTTGTTGACCGGGACAAAAAATCTTTCCGGCAGGTTAGCACGTTTTTTTAATAATGCAAATATGAAAGTGGCATACAGTCATTCAAATAACATACACCTCAACTTTTTTATAAAATGAGTGTCGGACTTTGTGTTTATAAAGTTTGTCTGTACGTGTTCAGGTATGTTTGTACGAGGATGTACGCTGTGTCAACACTTGGCACTCTGAGGAGCTCCAGGGCTTGTATGCAGCATCGAAACAAAACATCAACCAGGTCAGTAAGAAGCGAGAGCGTAAAAGAACAAATATTACCCATTTGGAAATGGCTTTTAATATGAAACTGATGTTTGTTTTACTGGTGGACCAAAAATTTGAATGCCTGTTCAAACCTTGTGTTTTGGCACGATGCAATATTGAAAAAAAAATGTTTTTTTTCTCTTTGTTCCGTGAGAAACAAGGAACCGTTTTTTTCAGACAGCTTATGTTAGTTGCAGTGTGGTGTACTTTAAATCTATGATTTTAAAAGTGTATTGGCAGCATGGTGGGCGACTGGTTAGCACATCCGCCTCACAGTGCATAGGTGCAGAGTTCAATTCCAGCTCCGGGCTTCCTGTGTGGGGTTTGCATGTTCTCCCCGTGCCTGTGTGGGTTTTCGCTGAGTCCTCCGGTTTCCTCCCGCATTCCAAAAACATGCATGGCAGGTTCATTGAACACTCGAAATTGTCCCGAATGGTTGTTTGTCTCTGTGTGCCGTGCGATTGGTTGGCAACCAGTTCATTGTATCCCCCGGTTACTGCCCGGAGACGGCTGGCATAGGCTCCAGCACATCCGCGACCCCTCATGAGGATACGCAGATTAGAAAATGGATGGATGGATAAAATTGTAATGTAACAGTAATTTCATTTGTCGACAAGGTGCTGTAGGTAATGCATGGATACTCCCCAGATTAATACTGTATACGTGTTTACTACAAAACCGTTTTACAAAAAATTGCTGGCTGCTCTCCCAATATTACAGATGATTTGAGTAGCTGATCCAGGGTCACGACCACACTCTTGGTAGAAAACACATTCAATGTATATTTAGAACACGCTGTTTTTTGTGTCTCCTCAATAGGTGCAGCAGTGTATGACATCTCCATCTAATACTTCACCCAGGCTCTTCTGTCAGGCCTTTGACTCTTGGTCCAATGTGCCTCCACAGTACCGAGGTTACGGCTTAGGCTCCTTACTTCGCCACCATCATGCGATCTGGCACTTTATGTCATTCCTTCGAAATAAAGATGCCAGGTGAGTTCTGTATGCAACGCACTGTTTGCATGTTGGACTGGTGTCAAGTCCCCCTATGATGTGTGTTTGTGTGTGTGTGTGTGTGTGTGTGTGTGTGTGTGTGTGTGTGTGTGTGTGTGTGTGTATAAATGTGTGTCTATTTGTGTCTATATGTGTATTTCTATGTATGTGTGCACAGTCATATTGGAAGAGAAATTTGTTAGCCCAAAACTATTCAATTTTCAATTTTGAACAACGTAGAACACTTTGAGTTTCATGGTCATGTATGAAAAGAAATAAAGCTTGAATGATTGATTGACGGCGGCCCGGTAGTCCAGTGGTTAGCACGTCGACTTCACAGTGCAGAGGTACCGGGTTCAATTCCAGCTCCGGCCTCCCTGTGTGGAGTTTGCATGTTCTCCCCGGGCCTGCGTGGGTTTTCTCCGGGTACCCCGGTTTCCTCCCACATTCCAAAAACATGCATGGTAGGCTGATTGAATACTCTGAATTGTCCTTAGGTGTGAATGTGAGCGTGGATGGTTGTTCGTCTCTGTGTGCCCTGCGATTGGCTGGCAACCGATTCAGGGTGTCCCCCGCCTCCTGCCCGAAGACAGCTGAGATAGGCTCCAGCACCCGCCGCGACCCTAGTGAGGATCAAGCGGTTCGGAAAATGGATGGATGGATGATTGATTGACATTAAACCCTAATGAATTCGAATGTGCTGTAATGAAACCTCTTCATCTTGGTAATGCCTATGTGTGTGAATTTTTGGTTGAAATTAAAATGTCTTTGAAATGTTTGTTGTCAGTATCCACTTAGAATGCTGGATGGACCTGGAGCAGTACAGGAGAACTCCGCAGAAGAACACGGCATTGAGACAGGGCAGATCTTCTCGCATTACAAAAAAATATCTCAACAGAAACTACTTCTTCAGCTCCCACAGTCCTGCCACTGAAGAGCAGCAGAATAACGTACGCTGACAAACTCAGTATATTGAATTCTAGTGATATGAAAGGGAGTATAAAACTAGAATTACAGCATTGTCCAGCTCGTGGGAAAGTTCTACAGACACAGTATGAACATGCTGCCTGTGACATGATGATCCAGATTTAGCGCGCGAGTTCCTGCTGAGGCTTCATAAACAGAGACCTCAGTAGGTCTCATACAGTGTTCGACCTCTTCTCTTCTGCTCTTATGTGGACCTGCTGCTGACAGTTCTGACAGGGTGTTACTGGAGGATCAGAGAATAAAGGACATGGTTAGAGTTAAAATGAGGTGGGTTAGAGGTTCGTGGTTTGGATCCACAATACAAGAGCAGACCTAGTAGGAGAAAATCTCTTGTCTAAAGTTAGTTTTTTTGATTGAAGCATACTGCGGGGTGGGGTGGGGGGGCACTGTGCAAGGGGATTGGCCGCTTTGATTTTGTAGATCAAGGGACTAGGGTTTATTCATGAAGTCAAAATATTAGATCCAACTTCACCATTCAATGCAATGCAGTATAGCAAGATTGCTCAAGGGCACCCTCTGGTTGCAAAGCCCCAAGACCTTTCAGATAAGCTATTGTAATTAGCTTATTGTTTAAATAGTATGCAGTCGAACCTCTTTTCAGCGTACCCGTTTTCACCCCCTGTAACGTTCACATTTCAAAGTCACAATTTTGCGTAGTTCATTTTCCATTTGCCGATTTTGCTTACAACGAACACATTTTTATAACGTAAACATCATCATCACGACCAGAATTTCCCCACAAAATAGTCAGAATGCCTTCGTTACAACGAACCGTGGGAAGCTAAGTGCTGCCGCGACGTTGCTTATGAACAAAATGCACAGCGCGGGAATCCCCGCCGCTAAACAACATTGCTGATCGATTCGTACATTGCCTTACTTCTGAAGGCTCGGCGCTGTCTTGAGCACATGGTCTGAAAACTGGTAAACGGAAGCAAATCTGGCTGTCTGTGAGGGCTGAAATTTTCTTTCATAATCCAAAAGCAGTCGACACTCAGCCGAGACTACGAATTCATTTGCTAACTAAATGTTTTCTTCATGACATGTTTATACTGTATTAGATGTTCATGTTTTTACATCTGTAAAGGTTCATAGCGTATTATACATCATAGTTGGTGGCCATTTTATTGGAAATGATTACAACAAACTACCATTATAACGTACAGATTTGTTATGTCCCTCGAGTTACGCTGTAACGAGGTTCGACTGTATTTTTAGTATGTTGTGGACAACCATTGTTATCCGTTCCCATCTACATTCCACAAATACTACTCAAATCCTCACTGGACTTTCTGTATGAACATCCATCCATCTCCTGCTTTTTATTTGCGGTCAGGGCACGGGGGCAACAACTATTTAGCCCCATTCCAATTTTGTTCCTGGTTTCCCTTACTAATGATAGGGTGAGAGTCCAAATGCAAATATAAGAAAATATACTGTTAATATTTAAAGAAAAAGTGCGGCACACCTGTGTATAATGCAAATCCTTCTGGTACTTTTTAATACGAAATGTGTAACATTTCTGAAATGTATTTTGGCCCAGGCTTTCCAATATGACAAATATCTATAATATATAATTTTTTTTTTTTTTTTAAAGAAAATGTAGGAGGACATAAAGGAAGGACTGAATGCAGACAAAGGAGATGAAGAGAAAAAGGGGATTGTGGGAAGCATATTGAGAACAGCACGAGTCAAACATTTGACCCAAATTCCCACAGTGGGAAGGTTTCATCTAACTAGACTCGCCGCCTCATGTTGCTCATGTGGATTTAATGTCATATACACTCATCTACCTGTGACGTGGCTTTCCTGTGTCTGACTGTGGCTTTCTAAAGTCTTGTTAAATGTGTGCGTGGACGTATAAAAGTGTCTCTCTTTTGTTTATAGATATTGCACCTGGCAGGTGGACTGGGGCTTCTGAAACTCGAGTGTCTCTCAGAGCCAGTTACTGTGGAGATCCAGGACATCATCAGATGTCACATTGAGAAAAAATGGCTGCCTCAGTTTCTGGTCTCAGCAGAGTTCCTTGAGCGACGGAGACGCAAACCGAAGGTACAGCAGCACACAGCAATACTGTACACTCGGTCTAAAATGACTAATACTGGGTACTAATTGGTGATGAGGCTGAAAGGGCAAATTCCATACTTGTGCCTCAGATTTTTCTTCTCTCTAAAGTGGTGGTCTCAGGCAGGCCTAGTGATGTCACCCAAAACAGATTCGAGGTGTGGCAGCAGACACATTGAAGCGGACATCTCAAATCCAAACTACATTCTAATGTGAAACAGACTGTAGTGTGGCTTAGCATGTGTGGTCATGTTGGCAAGAACTCGGGAGGAAAGGAAAAAAAAAATATCAAAACGAGAGATTGGAATCGACAAAGTCTACAGTTACAAATAAAACTCAAAATGCTACTGGTATAAATTGATGTCAAGTTTAACAGAAGTTGACTCGAGCCTATTGGCAATGTTACGGACAGACGCCAGCCACCATCACACCGCTGCAATAAAATGTGGTGCAACGAAAATAATGACAAATTCCAGACTTTTAGCGACGTGGCAACCGACCACTGTTAACTGACCCGATGAATAATGGACTCCTCATCTCCTGCAACACACACAGCAGTGCTGGCTGCAGGAGATAAATGCGTGATAAGCCAAAGGTTATTTTTCTGTCAGATGGCGCAGCTTATAACTTGCTGAAACCGAAAACTGTTCTTTGCCCTCTGACCTTTCCACAGGAAATGCTAAATGCGTGCAGTGGGTTCCTGGCCTCTTCCTATTCTTCCAAAATGTCATTTACTCTGGCATTGTACAAGCAAAGCCATCACAAGTATTAATTGTGTTTTAGATGCTTTGCAACCCTTCTTTTCAGGTTAGAAATTCAGTTCCTGGATCAATCACTTTTCGGCAAATGTCTGTTGAATATCTCAAAATCTTGAGTTGTGTGATACAAACGTGGTCATTTATTATTCTAGCATGCATGTACCGGTATAAGGGCCACCGATACGACACATCACCAAAAGTGGGTCATCACAGAGATGCTATCTTCTACTATACTAACAATTATGACATCGCCATTTTAAGATAAAGCTACCACAAAGTCATTGTTTGATATGCGTCTCTCGAGCTGCATGCATGTACACTTCGCAAGTATCATTCTCAGTTTCCAAATCAAAAAATGTAAATTCCAGGTATATTTGTAAGTAGCGCTGAAATGAGTGTCGAAAACGAAGGTTGAATGAATGTAGGAATACACGAAATAATTCGCAGCATAAGATGCTTTTCTTTTCTGACTGATCATCCAGCATTGGACAACATGGATCTCTTTCAAAGTTGAAAAATAGTGATGAAGGCCTTTGAAAATGTTTTTATTTCAAACCAGCAAATGGAAAACCGGATATCCCCAAAGTGCCGAGATCATGAGTTCCATATGAACTTCATTTTAAGATTGAAGACAAGTGATTACATTGCAAGCGCCATCTCGAGGTCACAAATGTCGCCGATTTCCAAGTAATTGATTGTATATTAAGTCGCTGATTGTGTAGTCAGTCGTGCACTCACCTGACTTGTGTGCAGGCAGCGTAGGATCGGTTCCCATGCAGCGCCGATGTGGGTGTGAATGGTTGCTTGTCTCTATATGCGCAATGTGACTGACTGGCGACCAGTTCAGGGGTTCTTCCGCCTTTTGCCCAAAGTCAGCTGGCATAGGCTCCAGCAATTCCCGTGACCCTCTTTAGGATGAGCGGTGTTGAAAATGGATGGGCGGATGCTTGTATACTAACACACGTCCGTTTATTGAGCAAGACTTCAGGCCTTTTCTGAATGTCATTCAGATTGCCTCTTGCCAGCCTTGATTTCGTCTACATAGACCACACACACAGCCTTTGCTTCTTGTTGCCTCATGGCTTGCCTTGAGATAGGACAGGTTCACATTAGCAGCTCTGCTACGTGTGAGAAACCATCAAATGGCATCGCTACGCTGTCTCTCTCTCTCTCAGGTTGCCACATCAGGTAACACGCGGACCACCGATTCTGTTGCTCTGACTCATTATGTTATCACTTTAACATAGTTTGGCCACATGGATCCTCTCATAAGGTCGAAGGAGAAGTAGCAGTAGTTTAGCATTACACGCTGGAGGAGGTAGAGGAGAAAAGTCTAAACGCTGGTGAGGAGGTGAGAAGGGGTAAGCGGATGAAGTCCAAAGAAGACAGGTGATGTGTTCATGGCGATCATTTTTACGTGGTTTCTCATCTATTTGTGTGTGTCACAGAACAAGTCTCGACGACAAAAGACAAGAGATGAAGGCTGGAAGGTGAGCTGACATCCACAGTGTTAGAATGGAGAGACGTAAGGCTTTTACTTGCCTGCAAACACGTGCGATTTACTTCACCACCTGGCTTCCAGCACTGGCTTTGTCAAACTCCATTTTGGCCCAGCGGTTAATTTTCCCAAATGGGATCCAGGATAAATAAGATTAAAGCATCAGCGTAACTAACCATGCTTCGATCCCGATTGCTCAGCGGCATGTCACAGATATAAAACATGAACATTTGAAGCAGCATGATTACAGGACCGAGTTTTTATTCCTGATTGTGACTTTGATCTTTATGATGATGACATCACTAGAAAAGAGCAGCTTCTCCAAAGAACTGTCTCATTATTTCAATTTCAGGTGAGCTCACAGCTCCCATAATGTTGTTCTGTTGTTGTTGTTGTTTGCTCCACCACAAGAAAAGCCGACGATAACATTTATTGACCTCGGGGGACACTTCCACAGCGTCCTTAAATACTGCGAATGCTTCCCTACAGACTCAGGACTTGTGGACGAGTTCCTCCAAGGAGATCCTTCTTTTTCGACGGCTTCTTCTTGACCCAGCCTCCTGTTTGCACTTCCAGCACTTTGTTTCGCCAAAGGGTGACTTCCTGGAGAATGATGTGCTCTTTTGGCTGGAGGTGCAGAGGTACAAGGTACAACACAGTACTACAAAAGGGCGGCAACCCACTTGTCATCAGTAGACAGCAGGCAAACAGTCTCAAGCCACCAGTAGCTTTGCTTTTAATGAATAACAGAAGACATTTTGGCATAATAAAACAGTGAAGATTAGGACAGGACCCGGTGCGAGCACCTCCGGTTCCAAAGATTCTCACCTTATTAGAGGCAGCTTCCTGCAAGATGATGTGCCAACTGGACTGTAGTGCGAGGGAAGGTTACACCAAAGATGTGTCACTTCACCGTTTTATCATTGTCTATTTTTATGATTGTCTATTTTTTCTGATGAAGCTGCTGATGAATAACCGTATATGGCCAAAGCATTGTTGCTATTCCTTTTAGAGCTGTAACCTATGGCATTAACGTGCAATTACCCCCCCCCCCCCAAAAAAAAAAAAATATTCTGTGCTTGAAAATAACATGTTGCACAAGGTCCAGAACGAAAGAAAGAAGGGGGGCCGTTTTCTTCACAAGCAGCTGATTCGAAAGCAAGGACGGGTGAAGCTTGCCGCCCCCCCCCCCCAAAAAAAAAGAAATCTTCACCCAATGTGTCAGAGGGGTAAAAAGTAACCTTTAAAATATACTAATTCGGTATATTGAGAAATGTTTTTTTTTAATTATTGCTACGATGAACAAACAGAAGTTATTCCAATTAGCTGCTTTCAAGAGGCTTTTGTAATTTTGAATCAAAGTATTAGTAATAGCTTATATTTGCATAAATGTGTAATATATGTGTAATATACTGTTCTTGAAAATCATGGATGACACATTTCAATCATGATTCATCATAACACGTCTAAGATAAGCAGCGTAGGAAAAGGATGGATGAATGGAAATGTCAAATTGCAGAATTTCCGAGCAGACTTCCCTAATTGACTCCAGAAACAGCACTTAAGGATGATGGGACACATTAACGACTAGACGTGAAGGAAATCTCTGCGGTGTCAAAATAAAGATGACACGATCAGCCCCTTGTTTTGATCCTCCCTTACAGGACCTGTGTCATTCTCATAGTGACGAGGCCACAGTTCAGCAGAAGATCTCCACAATCATCAAGTGTTTCATCAACTCATCCACACCTCCAGCCCTGCAGATAGACATCCCTCTGGAACAGGCGCAGCACATTATGCAGAACCGACACGAACTGGGTCCTTATGTCTTCAGAGAGGCACAGGTAATGGGTCAACCGGTCACATCACAGTTTGTTGGATCGTTCATTCCTTGTGTGCTTTGTGCTATGAACAAATACCTGTACTCGCTACGTTCCTGATTCTTTGGATTTATTAATTTTTTTTGTATATTTGTGACATGTTTACTTTTCAGATTATCAAACCAATTTTAATCTCACAAAGACAGTCAAAAACATTAAAACCAAATTGACTGATTGTGAAAAATTGCCACAGTGTCATACATGTCCACTTTACTGCATTCCTAGATGTCGGTGTTCAGTGAATTGCTCAGGTTTTGGCCCAAGTTTCAGGAGCTTAGGAGCAGTGTACATGAAGGTCGGTTACTGGAAATGCTTCAGGGCGAACGAGCTAAACACAAAGCCAGAGTGCGGAGACGAAGGAGGAAAGAGGAGGAAGAAAACGAGAGGAGAGCTCAGGTACGCTACATGGTGATGTCATGATTGTGCATCTGCTACTTTGAAAGTTCTTCTTCCGTCTCTTTGTATAGGAAGATTCAAGACGGCCAGCTTACAATTCAAGTGAAGATGAATATGATGAGGGAGTAGAAAAAAGAAGAGGTGGAAATCGAGCGTCAAAGACGCCGAGTGGCCTGATGCCGTACGCTCCAAAGCCAGTAAGCTCATCTACTCAGAGGGAAAATGAATTAAATCCTAAAGATTAAATCCAGTTCAAACCACAGAAGCTGTGTTGTTTTTATGAAAACATCATTTGATCAATGTTTTCATGTTTGCTCAGTTGTCGTGGTCTTACTCCAAATACATGACAGCTCTGAAGAGAGACAAGGCGCTGCCAAAGAGACAAAGTCAGAAAGAAGCATCATTATCCACATACTCAGCAGGTACATTGCCAGCACACTCCATCTCATCTCTGCTCCTGGACAGACACAAAGGGGAGCCATAAAGGTTCCAATTTTCTGATTTAATCTGGCTGTCAAGTAACCCCTCCACATTTCCAATATGATTGTCACAGTGGAGAACTTGAGTCAAAACGTTTGTGTTTTTACCTGATAAAAATGAATGTCGCGCTTTGGAGTCATCACCAGTATTATAAAAACGACAAAAGGTGCTGGGGCTGTACGCCACTACTCAACATGTTTGTCTCCACAGTGTCCTCTGATGGCAGTGTGAGATCAACAGGAGATAAGCATGACCGCCAGCAGTCCTCACGGCGCTTCTCTAAATCACACACTAAATAATGCCAATGATGTGACAGGAAGCACAAATGTCATTTTTCAAACATAGGCTGCTGTGTTGACCCAAATGCAGAGTAAGGAGAGAGGGGGCACACCTGTCGCATATACGCGCACCACCGTCCAGCGGCTGTATGTGTGTCCTTACTGCATTTCGATGACAGCCCAATGTCGACATTATGTTAATTGGTAAATAAATAAATAAATAAAAAGGCTTGTAAATCCTAAGATAATGACAATTCAGTGGAATTGTAATTAATTTTTGTCACATAGGATCAATTGGATTCTGCTTCTTCTGGTGTGCCTGCCTTGGCCACAGGGGGTCACTGTAAGACAGGTGGATATGCTGCCCGAGTCCCACTCCCAGCTCATTAGTACGGCACAATTAGTAGCTGTGCTACACAAAAGGATCAAGGGTATACATGAAGGTGGCTACTGTTGTGATAAGTACACTTGTTGCTGCACCGTGAGCTTTCTTTTCTGCCTGTTGCTTACTGAATTAAAGCATCAAAGGATGCTAATTTGCGTATGCGTTAAACTTGTGAAGTGAAATGCTCAATAAAGGTTCAATTCACAAAGTGTAATCCTTTTTTGCTTCATTTTTTTATATTTAGTTTGACAGTGAACTTTAAGTGACATTAAACAGCTTGAAGCATCTTTTTGAAGAATTGTCCAATTGTTCAGCCAAATGGTGGCACAACAAAATGGCGATATATATATATATATCAGATTTTCTTAACCTTGTGAGAGGTACCGAACACAACCAGTTCATATGGACATTCACCGAACACTTCATAAGTGAAAAATTAAAAAATATATAAATATATTTCTTTTTTTACAAATACGAGGCATAAAAAAACGCATTTATTAACAGAAAAAAACGACCATGTATATAGTAAGGCCTTTTTCACCGAAAAAAACGACCATGTGTAGTAAGGCATTCTTAACCAAAAAAAAACAACCATATATAGTAAGGCGTTTTTCACCGAAAAAAACGACCATGTATAGGAAGGCATTTTTCACCCAAAAAATGACCATGTATAGTAAGGTGTTTTTAACCGTAAAAAACGACCATGGATATTAAGGCATTTTGAATCGAAAAAAAACGACCATGTATATAGTAAGGCGTTTATCACCAAAAAAAACGACTATGTGTAGTAAGGCGTTTTTCACTGAAAAAAACGACCATCTATAGTAAGGCGTTTTTCACTGAAAAAAACGACCATCTATAGTAAGGCGTTTTTAACCGAGAAAAAAATGACCATGTATAGTAAGGCGTTTTTCATCCAAAAAAACGACCATGTGTAGTAAGGCGTTCTTCACCTTTTTTTTTCTGGCGTTGCCAGATAACGGCCCAGAAAGATGCACCAAATGTCACCTTATTGTATCTGTGTTTATGAAATAGTTACTAATTAATAGTTAATAATGAAAACGGTTCAGAACTAAGGAACATTTTATTGCAAAAGCCCAACTTTATGATCAAAGACAAATCCACATCGATGAAAAATAAATCAAAATACTCTGTGGTATTTTCAGGGGGCCGGACCAAATGCGCAGGCGGGCCGGATCCGGCCCGCGGGCCGTAGTTTGGGGACCACTGATGTATAGGAAGGCATTTTTCGCCCAAAAAATGACCATGTATAGTAAGGTGTTTTTAACCGTAAAAAACGACCATGGATATTAAGGCATTTTGAATCGAAAAAAACTACCATGTATATAGGAAGGCAGGGGTCCCCAACCGCCGGTCCGCGGACCGGTACCGGTCCGCCGGGCATTTGGTTCCGGGCCGCACAGAAAGAACTTGCCTTAATTCCGGTTTATTTATTTCGGAAAATGAAAGATGTTTTATTTTGAAAAACTACCGGATTCTCCGTTACATCCGTCTGTGTCACACTTGACACACATCAAGCCACGCTTCTCCGTCACGTGACCGATTACTTCAAAATAAAACACAGAAGCTCAAAAATGAGTAAAAAAACTGCTGGAGATCGCAAAT